ATATTGTAAGGGTTCGAGACAGAATTTTTTGTTCCATTATCTATTTAAAACGAATAAGAGCTGGAACAAAATTTATGTACTTATACTTACTGAAAGACTTCGTTTACCATGACTAATATATGCGTTGCAACTCTCCAGACCAGCTTTGGATAAGGTCAATTTTTTTTATAAAATACCTCATATATATATGTATGCTCCGTGTAGCGATATAATATGATCATCGAAATATGACACCGATGAGGCAGACCACAGCACGCGGTCTCACCCACGACTTAACTTTTTTTTTACACTCGAGACGGCCGAGGTGTCATCGCGGTTTGCTGCGCGATCTCAGAGTGCACATAAAAGTTACATAGATAGGAGACCACATAATGTTTGCGACATAATATCATTATCTGTAGGTAACTTCCTATTGGGATATCCCGAGTCGTGTCACTTCAGTCAAGTACAATGGAGTCTCGAGAGTTGAACAAAAGCCGCTCAAAGGCTGTCAAGTTGTAACGTGTACACAATAGAAGCAACATCTTAAGTTTTTTGAGTTGACCGTAATCGGTTGTTATCGCAGTGATCGAGTGGCAAGGTCAACGACCCCGGGTCAGACGCACACCGGCAAGGCGCTATCGCATCGGTTTGATCCTTATCCCGGCCTAGCCGAGCGCAGCGGTGACCGTTCCTTCTTGGAACCTAAGATGATCGAATCGCTGTAAAAAAGTTAATTTTGCCAGCCGCAGACAGATCCAGTTAGCTTTTAAAAGTAAATAAACTTAATGTTTTAATACGATTAAGAAAGAAATAAGTGAAATAGGGTTGTTTTTAATAAAGGAACATAAAATAATTGCTTCAATTTTTTTGAATGTAGTCGCATTTGGACGTTACGTCATGCACTCGTTAAAGTAAATATTCCTATTTTTTAACAATTACATAATTCTGGGGCAGAGTTTGCAGTGGAGCCTGCACGGTTGTTGCTGGCCACCTTGGCCGCTGTCCAGTAACTGGTCTCCGCTGGCTGTATCGTGTGTCGGCTCTAGGTATCGGCTACAGAAGCAAAATAATCACAATGACAATCGAAAACGCTCTCGTACTTTTATTTTTCCTGTAAACGCCTAGATTCACTGAATTTGCGATATTAAATATTTATACGTTTATCATAAATCAAGTAACGATATGTTTCACTATGTCCTAGTCACCCCTAACTTAGCGTAGGCTCCGAGCTCCTCAGTGGGCAAGTATAGTGAGTTGATGAAGAAGTGACAAAATATCATGGCAATTACAGTAATTACAGGCTATAGTATAATTATGAAAAGGGCGGGCTTGGGCCTCTTTCCGGTGCGACTGGGCACTGGGCACTGGGCGGCGGCGCCTGGCGGCAGTAGAGCGGCCGGCGCGGTCGGCAACGCACGCATCATGCTAGCTCCCGCCCTGATCGTCCTCGCGCTGCTCGCGTGCGCCTCCGCAGGTCCTTTGTCCATGCAAATACGCGGTCGACGACCCCAGTGATATATGTTAAGAACAAACGCGCCTCACACCGCCAATTTTTGATACTTATCGCCTTTCGGCGACTAAATACTATCCCGAAATTTTTTCGTGTTTTTATATATCTTAGCTTTTTATTGCTTATTCATACTTAGTACAGATGTTGGTAAGATTGCACCCAAATGTGAGTACATTTTTGAATCTCCTTAGATTATGAAGATGCTTTATCTGACATTTATTACCATTTGTGAATAATTTGAACAAATATTACAAAAGCAAAATGCAAAGAAAAGTAAATGAGAAAAATAAGATTTAAAATACAAACCATATTCATAATTGACTTATTGTTTCTTCTTATATATTGCTATTTTCAATAACATGTGTAATAAAATAATATAATGAATATCATAGTCATAGCATATTATTACTTTTGTTTTATATTTTGAAAATACGGTTAAATACGGTTTTATTGACTTACAATAATTTTGCCGGGTTATTTTTATAACTCTTTGCTAAAACATTTTATAATTACTTGTTAATAAAGCTCGCACTTACTACGCTAGTGCGTGGTCTTAGATTACAGCCTTACATTTAAGTCGAGGGTGTAATAACTTAATGCTTGCTAATTGCGGAGTGTCGGTGTCGGCTGAGAGCAGAGCAAGTGGCATTGTCGGCGTAGCGGCGCGGCTCGCCCGTACATAAGAGTTCAACGGGCGCGGCCCCAAGTATTATAAGTATATTTTATGTATTATATGTTTGCAAACATATTACATACATTTAAATATTTACCTTCTTGCTAATTCATTAATGTTTTAATTTCAGAATAATTCTATTGAGATAAAATAATAATAAGTCGTTTGCAAAGGTGACTCTGTTTATCATTTTGATTATTTGTTGATCAGGTGAAGAATGATAGCAATTTATTTAGGAGCTGTTTCGTGCATATATTTGGGCTTTCGTAAATCTGTCTGTATGGTATATGCTTATCTGTGCGTGAGTCTCGTGACTTCGCACTGTAGATGTGTGTCAGTGGGTCGCACAAAACAATACAATATAACTAGTCTAGTTACCATAACAAATAATGTTTCCATTTCCATTTGAAAACTTTTGCTTTGTTTTGGCGTGAGCTTTGTCGCCGGTCGCCTGTCATCGCACGCCCGTCTTCGTTCGTCGCCGTCGTGTGGACTTGCGTTGCTCTGCGCAAGCAATGCTCGCTCGTTGTTAATAGTTTGATTGCGATTAGACTTAATCTGTTCAATTCCTATAAATTAAAATACGACTTAAAAATGACGATTGGTCAAAATGATGTTACTTTTTTAGCCTTTTTAAGTGCAATAATAAGTCAATGTGTTTCGCGCGCAAATTTTAAATTAAATTAAACAAAATTCTGCAAATCTTGTAATTATATCTATTGCGTCATGAGCAAAGAAATTCTATATTAACTATGAACAATCCGGTGACACTAGCGAGTAGCGTCGATAATGTATGCAAACGCGGCGGTCCGCTAGCCGACCACTCCGCACTGCCACATTTGGACCTCTGATTGTCTAATTATTATTCCATAATAGCTCGTATCGGCATGATCTCAAAGTACAGTTCTATGTGTCTCAGGAGATCCATTTCAAATGGTTGATACTAGTGAATGAGTTGGAAGACAAACGTAACGTGTTTGTTTGTTCGACAAACTGGAATATTTAATGGCGATCGACGAGATGTGCCGTTGTCTGTGAGGCCGGTTCTGTGCGCGTACGGCCGCACCCGGCATCGGCCACCAGGCGCAAGGCACCCGGCAACAGGCATAGGGCACCCAGCACTCGGCACGCGTTGCGCATGCATGCGCATTTGGGGGCATATTTGCAAAGCACACAAGTTTTGTTTTAGAATGAAGCTACAAATATCTTTATACGGATATAAACGAATCACGCATGTTAATAATAATTATTCATAATTTATTATACAAAAACTCCACTAAGTTGTTACACGTAGTTATCGGAAAATTCATTACGATAAGATCGTGAGTAAATGTTTTAAAAGAATGGATATCATATTGTATTTAAATAAATGCATTAAAATAGTCATATTAGTATTTTCCACAAGTCCATCTATTTCATGACATCCGGTCAAACGGAAGCGCGCCCGCGCCGCGCCGGCGGGCTGGGAGCTGCGCCGTGGGAACATCATTGTCTGTTGTACGGTTATACTGGATCAGTGTTATTGTACCTTTCTTCATACAATAGAGTATTTATTGGTGTAGAATTCACAGGCGACCAGTTACATCTAAACACTGCATTAAAACATAATGAGTAAAATGTAAAAGAAAGTATGCAGTGCATTATACAGCCGTTGTGTGCAGAATTAAACATTCAGCCAGATACGTGGCGTGGCATACTGGCCACTAAGAACCTTTGCCTTTTTAACTATGAAAAAGGTTAGGTGAAAAAAGAAGAGAATCGCGCGGGAAATGTTAACAACCAAATGTAAATACGAATAGAATTAGTTGGAATTTTTAATGTAAATATGAAAACAGATTTTAACAACGTAATAAACGCATTTTAGCTGAATCGGTGCGGCTTAACATTCGTTGTTAACAAACAGGTTAAGAATTTTAGCAAATAAAGTAAGTAATGTTCATATAATATTCTGATAAAGTAGAAGTATTATTTTTTTATAAAAAAAAAGTATAATTTTATGTATATTAAGATTTATTTTTGCACATTGGCATCTATCTATTTTACCTTAACTCCTATAAGTAAGAGCCGGCTCCACTTACGAAGATAGACAAATATATATTTTTATATAGCATCTTTATGCTTAAATTGTTTGTTTTCTTGTTTACTCTGACGAGAGAGTTTTTGTATTCGTTTCAAATAATTTTGCTTTATGCCGGAGAAATCAATTTTAAAGAAAATCCGAAAATTTATGTAGGTTTATGGTTTACCTTAAGCACATTTGATATAAAATTGATTAAAATAGTTGTAGTTGTTTACGGCATTTTTTTTCTAATTTTCTAACGCCCGACTTTGTGATTTCTTGTAAAAAAAATTGCCTTAAGATTTTGTGCATGGGCAACAATACACGTGAACTATAAGAATGATTGAGTTCTGCGCGGCGGCGGCACATCAATGATCCATTGTCTTAACAATTAGACAGTGTAATCAGGTCGCAATTGGCGAGTGATGCCAAAAGAACCAGAACAAGAATAATACCGGTAGTTTTGTGTATTTGCCGTAAAATGGAAGCTTTCGCTTGTACTTCAAGTTGAATGCTTAATAATTACTTTAATGTACTTTCTCATGATTTAAAAAACGAACATTGAACTTCATATTCACTGAAGTGAAAAAACATGCACACCTCGCCGTGTGGCTACATTTAATTTTTTATTTTAATATTTTTAGGTAAATTGAGCTCTTTTTTTTCTATAGTCTAAAATTTTAAAAACTATGTAAATATGGAAATAAAAGGCTTATTATTATTATTATTATATTTTTAGGCGCACTTCGATAACAATGTATATATATTGTGTTTATTTGTTGTGGTGTCATAAACTACATCATCATTTTTGATAATTTATATCAGACATTGTTATTGAACGTGAATTCGGCTTGTTATTTATTATTAAAAGTATATATAATAACACATCAGCTGACAGACATATTGAATGAAAAAAAAACAAATGAGAAAAAATTTGATTAACAAAATCGATTCAAGGTCTAACATTTTATGTAAAAAAATCACTTTAATGAATAACTGAACTGACATACACATAATATAAATTGATTTTCGACCTTCATAATGTATTATGTATAATTAATGTAAAGCAAACTATTTAATTTAAAATGTATGTTCGTTGAATGTTGATTGAAACACTAAGAAAACATAATATATATGTTCTTGTTTATATATTGTTGATTATTTTATATCTATATCATTGCGGTGGGTTATTTACTTGTATAACGTGTAAGCTACTAGGTGTTCGCTAACAAATTTTTAAGTAATATATAAATAGTTATAATGTTACGTTTATATTATTTGTTCTTAATTTAATGTTGTCGTTACAATATTTTCTAAGCTATCTTGTTTGTTAGCCTGTTTACCCTGAAACCTTTTTAAAGTTTATCAACTTAGTAATCAAAATACAATAACATGTTGGCAAAATATGTTGTCATACAATGAAACCGACTGAGCCGTTTGACCAACGGCTCAGTCGGTTCATTAAATATTACACATTTGCCGATCTTAATAATTTCTTATTTGTACACGAACCAACGAAATCAACCTAAATATGTGAGTATGCAACCACATCTCGCGTGGACGTGTCGTAAATCTGCCAAACTTGGCGAAACCTCCTCGCCATTTGGTCCTTGTTTCCTGTCGGCATCTCGCAGTCGCATGCATCTGAGGAAACTAGAATATTGCAAAGTACCATTTAGATCCTAATGAAGGTAATTAAAGGAAGTACTGGAAAAGAAGTAAGTTTTAAAATCCAGAATTCATGGCATCAGGACTTTCATGAAATCCTATCTTTTTCTATCTCGCGAGATCTTCAGAATTGCGTTTTTGATTCTTTCACAGCGAATTAAAACTACATACCCGTTTAGTTGCCATCCAAGTTCACTGTAAAGTTAACCTTGCGTGTATTTTTAACTCAGACCTCTCTCAGAGCTGACCAATTTCGCAGAATCGGCAAAAGTAAAGTTCCCGAGGCGTTCACAATGTTGAGCCATTAATTTTTATTTGTTTCTCTCTCGCCATGTGACCCCGCTTCCCCGATACCCCACCTGCCCCAGCTCCGGTGCGAGTGGAGCAGGAATGGCGCCGTGTGTCTGCCGCTCCACCGCCGTTTTTGTGCCACCGGTGCGTCCGAGCCGCGCTGAGCCGGTGTGCACTGTTACCACCGCGCTTTACAGTCATCTAAATTTACTTTTATTCATCTTAATAGTAATTTAAATAATGCTACTAAAAGACAATTAAATCACAACGAAACATTTTTACAGCTTCGCTTGGACCATCCATGGATCGAATAGATAGTATTTGACAATAAAATGGACATAGATGATGTTGATGTGAATAGTTGTGTTCTCTTCATAATTGGTTAATCAAATTTGGCGGTGCGAGGTACAGAGTGTAGGGATAATTTACATAAGTACCTAGGTTTTTTATCACTTAAAGATCTATTATACTTGGATTATAATATATTGTAACTTAATTTTTTGATTACAGTTACGGGCAGAGGTGCTGCAGCTACACTTGCTGTGTACGGACAACAGAGCAGAACTCTAGGTAATATTTATAATATATCCGTGATTTTGCTGTAAAAGTTTATTTTCGTTTGCACAACTAAAATGCTCATATCACAGATATTAACGCGCAATAATCCAAGAAATATAACTAGTTGAATTGAAAATGGAATTGTGAAACGACCTTATCCATTTTGTTGATAATCCAAGCGTTCATATCAGTTTTAAATGAGTAAATGACGTTCGTCAGATGTAGTGAGGGCGGCGATGTGCCACTATGAGGGGCGTCACTACGCCGAGGGCGCGGTGGTACCGGTGCGCGCTCCCTGCCTGCGCTGCCGCTGCGGCCGCGGCGCGGTGTCCTGTCGCCGCCGCACCTGCGCTGCGCCCCGACCAACCTCCGAATCCTGCCAAAACGAAGGCGGCCGGGACCCCTGCTGCTCGCACATGTACTGCTCGGGTCATCATACAGGTACCATCAGGAGGACAAACAACACATATTGCCGATACATCAGCATATTGTCTTAACGTCAATGAGAAGTTATCTATAATTCACCCCTTGTAATGTTATGTTTTATGGTCGCAGATCTCACGGATATAGTGGAGAGTTTGCCCGACCCCATCACCAAGTACGAGGAAGTTTATCCTGAAGTGGTCAAGTCTCACACACACGGTAAGCTTTTGAACTAATATCTGAAAACACAACAATGCCATTAGTTTCTAATATGCATGAAATTTCGATACTATGCTGTTATATACATATATATGGTGGCAAGTATTAGAGAAGGCAAGTGTTCAAGGACTGCTCAGTTGAATAGCGAGGTTTGTGCGCTGAGGAGAGCGGTCCACGTTGCAGAGCACCCCGTGTGTGTGGAGGAGGGCACGAGGTACGCGGCGGGCTCGGCGATGAGCTCGGGGACGTCATGCGAGCAATGCTTCTGTCTGGGAGGAGCGCGGCGCTGCGTGCGGCCTCAGTGCCTGCGCCCGCCGCTCGGCTGCCGCGCCAACTCTGCGCCCGGCGTCTGCTGCCCGCAGCACTACCACTGTGACCACTCCACCACCAAACCTCCCATACAACACCACCTGCACGGTGAGCCACACCTTTACATATTTTTGTGCGTGCTAAAATTATTTCCACTGAGAATCATCAAGAATCGTAAAGAACAATCTTCCGCTTGTTACTCATTTTGTTTTGAGACGATTGTGTACGCACCGTCATCGTAATTATCATTAACATAAAATAATATTATAGCAACGATATTCAAATAGTCGATGGTCGATTCCAGATTGCCAGGTGGAGGGGCGGTGGGTGTTGGAGGGAGAGCGCGTGGCGTCTCCGGAGGGCGTGAGGTGCTCGCAGTGCTTCTGTCTGCGCGGAGCCGTGCGGTGTCAGGCGCTGGCCTGCGCGCCGCCGCTGCTGGGCTGCAGGCCGCTGCTGGAGGCGGGCCAGTGCTGCCCTCATCAGTACCAATGTGTCTTCCAACAACGACAAGGTTTCACCTCCGTTTCTTTATTAGTGTTTATTGTCGGCAGCGTATACTTTTATATGCAAAGACTTCAGTAATATGTTAAGTAAAATACTCTTTGTTATTAAAGTGTTCACCATGTTGTTTCAGGCTTGCCAGATTTTCACACTCAACCCATATCGGATAACACTTTGAGCTCATTTCAAAATAGAGATCGATCCTTCCGCAGCGCACCGCCGATGGCGCAATATAATGTGACGACCGCATTGTCCAGCACTGTAACGGATAAAACCACGACCTCGTTGATGGTTGATGAACACGATTCAACTGCGACGACCAAAGTTAAAAGAAAAACTAATGACTCATCCACACAAACAACGAGTAAAGCCACCGAGAGTCTGACTACGTCGACGGCAACCGCACAGACGACGACCAAAGCCGTCCTCAGCACGGACAGAACGACGTCGCTGGGTACGGAGACCTCGACACCCGAGGAGGACGCCATGGAGCAGCCCGAGAGCTCCGTCAAAATTATCATCAACGGGACGATTAACTGTACGGCCGAATTATCTACAACCACCATAACTATAAACTCGACCAGCGCCAACGAGACCGAAAAATTATATTCGAATATAGAAAACATCCAACCGCGAATACCTAACATAGCGCAAAGCATCGAATCTCACACATACAACCCGAACGATATCATCACTGACAGAAATTACAACGAGGACTTTGATGAAAATGAGTCTTACATCATAAACGTCACCAGTTCTCTGATCAGCTCGTTACGCACCAACAGCACCCTCAGCAGCCCCGCGCCCGCACACAACAAGGTGACCGATGCGGCGCCACCTGACTCTGCTGCTTCTCAAAACAACTCCAAGAAAACTAAGGACGAGTATGACTATTACTACAAGAAGCCGACGTTACCTCCTTCGTTACCTAATTTAAAGTATTATATTTTTCATATTTGTTTGATTCTTGTGTACGCACTGACATTGTAATCATTTATTCCTATTTTTAGGATCATTCCTTTCGTTGCAGCGGACGCCGTCGTGGACGATGACACGACGTCGAAGAAAAGTCACGCGTATCCCGTCCTCCTTGACGGACACGACAAATATCCCGTGTACTATCCGAGCGGGGAGGGGAAGGACGTTCCGTTCGCGACGAGGCGGGAGGACTCGTATAATCCCACACAGTTTCCCATATTTTTATCAAAAAAGATAGAATCGGCGCAGTACCCGCTGTCTGCACACGAGGTACATCTCACGAACGAGTACCCCAGTAATGGAGACATAATAACATCAGTGCAGGAGTACAGCGTCACCACCGCACTCGGCAACGACTTGCCGCACGCGAACAGACCCACCACCAAACTGCCCGGACACAACAACAAGTTTGATCTGGATACTCCCGTCGTCAATTTGTTCTCCCCTCCGGTGGAAACTGAAGGTGCCGTAAAATACATATCAATGCGCGAATTTCATTTTCAAAATGTATTCCTAAACTTTGCAATTAAATGTTTTAGGAGGATTCGTTCCAAAGGATCCCCACATCATCGATGACTTTTATGCCTTGTACACCACCAGCCCGCCCCCCTCCATTGTGCCGCATTTAACTACTTCCATGCAACTTGATACTTCCAAGGGTAAATGCTTTATTTTTATGTAACAGAACACAGCCACTTATATTGAGAAACTTTTTGATCTGATGAGTCACAGTAATAAAGATGACTTTTCTTAGTTAATAAGCTACTAAAAATTAATATGTACCGCATACTAATTAACAAAGGCTTACAATTAGCTCCAGCACGATTTAACAACTGACATGTACGTCTTTTAGAATGTGTGTCGGAAGATGGTCAGAGGATAGTAGAAGGAGAAGCGATCAGGTCAGCGTGCTCGGTGTGCACGTGCGCGTGGGGCGAGGTGCGGTGCGCGACGCGGCGCTGCACCGCCAGCCCGCCCGGCTGCAGCAGGCGCCCCGCCGCACACTCCGCCATAGATTTATGTTGCGGCGATCTTATTTGTAATTCAGGTACCCAAAAAGACATTCTCAAATGATAAATATTTTTTACAAAGTATCGATGTTATTTATTTTTCCAGGAAACAAGACCACACCGTCTCCACAATTTGTGTCGACAAGAAGTGTTCCTGTGACGCTACTATTAAACAAATCGCAAGAAATACCGACAAATAGTACTGATGCATTTACGGAGTTAAGTAAAGTAGACCATACTACGCCTCGATCTTATACACGGACGACAGCTTCACCTAAAATAACTACAATATCCTCAGCGGTGATAAACGAGGAGCAGTTGAAATCAGAAGTGACCAATGTTAATTTGGAACAAAGTTCCACAGAAAAGAACGAGCAAAGCGGCAAAGCCACAACAGTCGCAGAAGATTCCGAAAGGGACAGTGAAAATTCTCAGGAATATGATGACGACACCGATGATGATGATGGATTCTCATTGGGAAGCGTTTTAAAACTTTTGCTGAGTGAAAGTTACGCGACGACCACGGCTGCATCGGTGAAACAATCAACAGTGCCGGTTACACAAACAACAAATATTGTTACTAAAACAACGCAGGCGCCAACAACTACAACAACAACAACGAGAAGATCCTCCACACCGCTCGTTTCGATGACAAATCGTCCACAATACATGCCAGTAAAACATCAACAACCACAAAGTGCAATAAACCGTATCGACCATTTGATTCTGGGTGAATCGAGCGCTATTAAGAAGATGACTCCTCGTCCCGCCACGGTACCGTTTAAACCGATTCCGACCAGAAAGCCCGCGCCACCAAAAATATCCACCACCGACAAACCGATTATCACATCGAAACCGGTTCAAGTTACCAAAAAGACTGATTATGTTCAGTACACGTCCATTACACAAGAGAATGTCAGACCGTCCACTTCGAATCACTTGAGCGGTGGTCTGGGTCCAGGGTTCTTGAAACTTGCCGGATGCAACATCTACGGCAAAATGTATCGCGTCGAGAGAATAATAGCCGAGCTGTCGTCCTCGTGCCAGGAGTGCCGCTGCACGGAGCTGGGCGTCCAGTGCCGCCAGCTCGGCTGCTCCGACACCACGGGATGATCACCTGCACACATTCACCATGAACTGGTCGCTTATGTTTACTGGATTAGTTAGTTATTGTACAGAGTGCGATAGATTTAGTTAAGGCGTTGTCCGAAATCATTCAACATTTCAGATATCAGATACGTAGGAGCGTGTAAGTGCGACAGAAATGAATTATTGTTTATGTAATAGGCCACCGACAGCCGCTAGCGTTGATCTCAAACATAACTATATCATAGTATGTATAATACTTTATTCTATTTTGTTTGTATTTTGCACAAAATGAAATGATACGGCGGCGAATATTTATTTGGTAATCTCCGAAGCAAAGAGTTTAACAGATAAGAAGCTGACTTGCCAATGTGTTAGGTTAAATAAATACTAGCTTACTATATACGAGTACATACGTAACAATCAAAGAAATAAATTATCGGCAGTTAGTGTGTTGTTTTATTCAAACATTTTTTATTTAAATGAAAGAAGTTATATTTTATAATAATATTTTATTTGTATCCAGAATACAAAAATATTAAAAAATTGCACTTAGACGTATGATACGAGGAGTATAGCGGCCATTGTCTCTGCAACAATGACATTACAATCACAACCGGACACAAATTACTTTTTTTTATGGCCTCAATTCTAAATAGTATAACACAATCCATAATTATTCTACAAACTCAGTCTTTATAATGGTAACATGAGTATTTACTACTTACATTATTGTGAAAATATGTTTCATTGAAGAAATAGTAAATATTGGAAAAGAACGCAACATGATTCCTGACATAAATAAAACCCAACTGACAAGGGGATAATCTTTCACGCGTTTGTTAGTTTGTTTTTATGTAAGTTCCATTGTGACTGCCAAGAACCTAAGGATTTAACAAATTTTCATGAGGTTTATATCAAAAGGACATATAACATCAATGGACCTAGCACGAATAATTGTGACAATCACCAACGTATTGCCGTGGTCAATGATGTCAAAATTAGTATAACATTTTTGGTGTACTTTACGACCGATAGAGGCGCTGTACAAATTTTAATACACATTTTGTCGATGACGATTATCAAAAATATTCGTGCTAGGCCCACAGCACAAAACTCACGTAGAAAGTTCAAAATTTATAAAAATTTAGTTCGATCTCAAAGCCTGTATAAAAAGCAGCCGAGAGATGGCGCTATCTCAAATATTCCAGCCTGTCAGTCGAGTTTCTTGTTTTTTTTTTAATTAAGATATTATTATATTTTCTTGAAAGGACTTTATTTATAACAGATTAATTTACACTAAATTAATTCACAAAGATCTTATGTCCATTGAGTTATTATAATAGAAAACTTACACCGACTAGATCAAACAATATCTTTGGTGTCTGTTCAAATAAAACTATACTCTGGACCATAACTTTACTTAGGAATTTACTTAGAAACTTTACATTTCCTTTTTTTATATACTGTTTGTGAAAGAGTACCTTCGCATTAAGTTAAGCAGTTATACATTTAAAAGGAAAAAAACAATGAAAGCTAGATCCAAAGCTTTAAAAAGCAAAACGTTTTTAGCCAACAATTTAGCACCCAATTTTAATACAAATAATAATAAAGATTAACACTTAAATAATAATAAAAATTAGTTAACATTGTGAAATCTTATGTAACTAGACTTAGTTGAAAACATAATTTAGTTGACTTAGTTAATATGTTTTGATACAAAACAAAAACAAAACGATTTCATAGAAATCCTAATAATCATTTAAATATTAAGTAATTATTTGAAATGCACCTTTAAATGAGTTTGATACGTTGTCATGTGCTCGCTGAATATGTCAAAGCATTAAGCAAGAAATGAAATAATTCTTACACTAAAACAACGTGCTTTAGCTTTTTACTTTGCAAGCTAATAAGTTTCGTTACGAACAAATGAACAAATCATTCATTGTTCGTAATATTAAGGAATACTTGTAAACGTTTTTCGCAATCGATATGTAACAATAACCCAAATTATCTTTGGAAATAGACCGTAATATATAATTACGTCTTAATATATACTATCAACAATGTTATGTGTTAAAATTTTGTTTTTAAATGTAGAGTCGTATAAGAAAAATGTAATTTAAAAAGTTCGTGTAAATAACACACACACACACACTAACTAGGACTAATGTAAAATGAGGTTGAGTTAGTATTGTCCTCGTATAACACACAAAAACTTACTGCGCTATCAACTTTTGTATACCTTACAGTACATTTTTACATTTTTACAACAGACACAAAATAAGGAAGACCTCGCTGACCTCGCCTTATTACCTAATGTTCTCTCACTTTTGTACTCTACAGTCGCCAACATACATACGTACAATTGACACCAAGTTGTAAAACTCAGCAGCTTCACAAACGTTACTCGCACCAGTTTTATGAGCCTCGAATTATTGTACATACATATGTATAATATATTACAATTAAACTTGCATTACATATAGCAACGTTATTTAACAATTCTCTTAGAATATTTTCGTTTTAAGCGTGATCATTACATGTGATGTGTGGACAACACGATATATCTATCATGATGACACTTGTGTAAGCCACGACACGTCACGACACGACACGACACGACACGATACGATACGATACGACACATGTTAGCAGATATTTGCAATAGTGTTCTTACATATTTAATATTAAAATCAACATCTCTTCTCAACAGCTCGATGAGCTAATTGACCCTACGTTTTGCCGTTTGACTTGTACAGTTGCTAACGCCAGATGAGAACGTTTAAATACACTTTACGCCTAATGAAGACAATTTCGGACGGACAGAGCCAATTGCACTTTGGAAATATCAGTCTTCAAATCAATTGCATTCAGTCTGGTTGATCATAAACCCACACGTCCATGTGATACGATGGCGCAGTGTCGCAGGGCGCGGGGTGACGTGAGCTAGTCGTGGTCGTGCCAGAGTGCGGGGTGCAGCGCGGCGGCCGCCACCCCGCCCGCCAGCACCAACAAGGAGATGACGCGCGCGCACACCATGTAGCGCTCTTTTGAATTTTCACCTACAACAATACACATTGTTTAATAAAGAATATAACGCATATCATATAATATTTTATTAGGAAAACAACATTTGCAAAACGTTCGAGTCGATATAACTAGGTTAACATACCGTCGAAGATGAGGAAGCCAAGTGGCAGGCCGGCGGCGGCGCCGAGCACGTGCGCGGCCCACGCCACGTGGCTGTAGGTGGCGGCGGTGGCGGGCGTGGGCGGCTCGCGCAGCAGCGCCCAGCTCGCCTCCGACGCGCCCAGCACCAACACGCTCAGCGGTCGGAACCACCACAGCGGCACGTGACCGAATCTGAATAACAATTTTGCTTATTTAAATATCTTCACATCGGACCTTACCTACCAGATTGCCGCGCCTTGTATTCTCCCGAAGGATCAATAGAGTCGTCATGACTGTTATAAATTAAATACTTTAATATAAGGCAAATAAATCAATTTAATGATGATTGCAAGTGACATAATACGAAAAGAAATATCGATATGAAGTTTTGTGATTATACATATTCAAATTAATTGCAAATGTATAAGCAGTGTCTCAGAAAAGCATAGTACCTGAGGCAGACGTTGGGCAGGTGCGCGGTGAGCAGCGCGTACACGGCGGCGGAGGCGCCCACGACGCGCACGTGCGGCTGCAGCGTGCCCGCGCCCAGCGCGCCCGCCACCACCCCGCCCCACCACACGCCCGCCGCGCGCGCCCACCCCTGCTCGCGCTCCAGCCGCCATCCCACCTGCATATATAAAATTAAATATACAAAGTCAGCCCACATACCGTACGATAATCGAGTAAAACCCATTTAAAGAGCCCTATATATTTTTAACCTCAATTTATATTAAAGTACAAAAACTTTATTGATTTAATTTGCTTAAGAATAAAAGTTTGTGAAAGTGAGTATACTGACCGCGAGGGCAACGAGGGCGTTAAGGGCGAGGTGTGCGTTGGTGGCGTGCACGCAGCCGTAAGTGAGCAGCCGCCAGGGCGCTTGTCGCCACGCGTTCGGCGCCCACTCCAGCTGCGCGCGCACCGCCTCCGTGCTCCACACGTGCACGCAGATCTGCAATAACAACACACACTTGTAGAAACACCGTAGAGATGCCAGCATTGCACATGAACTTCATAAGAGTAATGAATATTTCTTGTCGATTAATCATATTATAAATTATGAAAACAGACATGCTAACAGGAGTGATGCAATATAGACAAACGGGAGAGCGAGCATCGCGCACTTACTATGGTAATAATCATGGTGAGTATGAAGTACGGCGGCTTCAGAACTGCGATCAGCTTTTCTTTCCTCTTCTGGAACTTTGTTTTCGTTCTCTTTGTGGCGTTTGCGAGCTGGCATTTTGTCTTTTTTTCTTGCGATTTCTTCTTGCTATCTTTGGATACGGCCCACACACCGAGGGTGAGTCCGGCTTGGAGGCGAGGTTTGGTGGCGAGGGGCGGGGGCGCGGGGCCCAGTAGGCGCCGACTCTCGCCCGGGCTGCAAGTGCGGCTGTCGCTGCCGCGCTCCGTCTCCTGCTCGACCCAGGCGCGCGCGGCCGGCGGGCCCTCGGGCTGGATGCGCCGGCCCTGGTGCACCGGCACCTCCTGAAAGTCTTCTCCATTTAGCCGTTCCACCTGGACATCGGATAGACATAATTAGTGCAAAAGTAAGCTTTCCTCGGTTTTTCGATTTTTTACTAATGTTTAATAGACTTCAATTTCATTATGATTATAACGAGCAGATTAGATAGTACGATTGATTTATCATAATCGCGCATCGATCTGTTTCGACACAAATACTTAGTACCTGCCCATTTATTTATCAACATGATAATCATAGTAATTACAGTGTCTTTCTCGAACGAATATTTGTCAATCGTGAAGTCCTAGCAGAAGATATAATAAATTATAGATGCAATCCTGAATACAGAATAGAGTAGCTCCGAGGTGTTTTGGTGTCTACCTCTTCGCAATCGTGCGCATGCGGCGCCATGGCGAGGTACGGCGGGCGCGGTCATCTCCCGGGGCGGCGGAGAGGACCCGCAGCACGAGGGCTGACCATCACCACCGCATCTGCGGCCGCAATAAGCAAAAACACTCAGATCAAACAATATATAACCAAATTCAGGAGGAAAACTATTTTTAGCACAACGCGGTATTCCCTTACATTGCTTTACCGGGAAATATTTGTATGTCGAGTAATTAATTGTGGTTTAGTTTGATTGTCGGGAAACATACGCAATACAGGATGTTTAAGTTTAATATATTATGAAGTTATACTCATATATCATATCAAGGATTATTACTGGTTATAATAACTCATTCAAAAAGCGTATCCATTGATAAAGAGAAGACTGATTTCCAATCACACTTTGAACATCCCAGTAACGAAAGTTCTGAGCTATAAAACTCACAAATAGAAAAAAAATTCCGGGATTCGTTTTATGCGTCGTATTCGACTGCCACAACATGATTACTGCTCTATGCCTAATTATAATGAAGGTAACGTATATACGTGTACCATTTTAAATAATAATTTAAGAACATGCTGTATAAAGTGTATTTTCATTGTCTATTTTCAAGCAAGGTTATATAAGAAATTTACACATATTTTTTTTAGGAAATGATTTTCATCAATGACAATAATTTGTAAATTTTACTTTTGATTAGTAAATAGAAAATCGGTAAACTGTCTGTGTCAAATGTCGCGATGATTCCACTAAAGCATTCACAAACTAATGTAAAGGTAAATAATTATGTTGTGTAAATAACACATCACAACACAAATGTATGTAATGATGTTGAGACCAGACTGACCTTGTTCTTATTGAAGGGATTATTTAATAATAACAATTATTAAATACTTACATCTTTTCAATTTATATATATATTTATTTTGTTGTTGCTCTGATGTTATACAAGAGATGAACGATCTAAAAATATGTAATATGCATTATATTATTACAGCTATCATTATCGTGAACTTGACAGCTGTCAACGCCCGCTGACAGCTGTCAATGTCTTTTTGCATTAAGATAAGGTGAAGGATGCTAAGATACCTTGAGTATTGGGTCTCATTTATTTTTATAATAATTAAATAAACATTAATCACAATAATAATAATAACCTTCCTTAAAGAGAGATGCAAAGTAAATCTCTGGTATTATTTATTATTCTATTATATATCGTGGTTTGTGCGGGAGTACTTTATTAACATCGCTTCTTATTTTTAGAAGATTTATCATTACATTAGGCAATAAAATTTGTCGTATTTTAATAATGAATGCAAATGAATACAATTCGCAAAACACATGTAAAATTATTTTAAGATAGTTCATGGAAACTCAGTGCAACGCTCGCGTCTGCATCCTAATGCTACAATAATACTTGTTGAGTCACGTCCACTTACCATAACTGTTGTTTTACTCAACGAAGATGAAGGATAATAAAACTATAAATGTTTGCGACACTTCCGGACAGACTTAATGTTCGTATCATTACGCCAAATGTTATGTTAGGTGCAGGCTGATTAGTAGTCTGTGGGCGCGGGGTGCGGGGTGCGGGGTGCAGTCAGGTCGCCAACACCTGATGTTCAGATAAGCGTAAGCTCACATTTGCTACAGGGCCGGTGCACCACCGTGCCGTGCCGCGCCGCGCCGCGCATCCAACTATTATTAATTTGTATGTATGCAGTTAGCTTATTCTATGAATAACGTTCGTAATTATGGCAAACTGTCTGTCGGGAATCTCGCCTTGCATATAAACAAAGTCCGTTCTATTGGACTACCAAATTTTTATATTTTGACATCAAATGCATTCACTCTTAACGCTATTTTAATTAATTTTTAAAAATTTTGAATAGCACAATATGTACATACAAACATTGTTTTTCTATCTACATATGTAATAAAATGTTACCAATTTTAAAAGAGAACTTCGTCCAGCACTAACTGCTGATGCACCCGCTCTCGTGTCAACAGCACATTGTAACTTGACGTCACTGATACAATGGAAACAAGCACTCACACACACACACGCACAAATTACCAAATCACGACCTGCTTGCACTGCACTCTGCACCTGAAGAGCAGCAAATTAGTCTAATTCCTTATTGCGAGTTGCGTTTACCTGCTGCTACGAGTAGCTATAGACATCAGGTAGTCGGCGGGATACTGAGTTTTTAGAATATGATGAATGGCTCTAACCGTTTCCCTGTTGTCTCAAATTATAACAAAGAGATTAAAATTCCAGTCTGTAGGTTAAAAGAATTTAGTTGGAACTATAATAATACACTTATAATATTTTCCTTGTTCGGTAAATCTTTTTATGATTAAATTGTAAAATTTTATTTTTTTGCAAAAAGGCGATGCGATAATTAGGATCGAGTATATGCACATTGACACAAGGAAGAGTTATAACAGTCTTATATTCAATGAATTCTGAAATAAAAGTTGGCGGCATACGTACGTATAGATTAGCAATACTGTCATAGTAAATAAATTATTGAGCACGGCAGTGTTATTGAAGTTTTGTGATTGACTTTGTTACTGTGAATTAACGGGAAATCGGAAATCACTCTGTATTTCCAATAATTATTAATAAATCACATTTAGCCGTGTACGTGATAACTGTATTAAATTAATTAATTGCCCACTATACGTGGTGCGGTTCCGATATTTAGTGTCTAATAAATCCGGGTTTTAATTGCTGTTAAAAATGAAGGTGTGTAGCTAGCTTTAGCGACCTTGCACAACCGCGTCTTACTAAGGTCGATTTCAAAAACTGAATACCAATTTGACTAGTTCTAAAGCTGCGAAATCAATGTTAGAAATTCTTTTAGAACGTGAACAGACAAACAAATATTGCGGATCTTTATTTGGTATATCTGGAGTCGCTGGAGAGTGGGGAGTGTGGGGAGTGTGGTGGGGGGGGGGGGACAGACGAACTGATTATTTATACCGAGTAGCCGACGCGATGACATCGTCGCGTCGGCTACGCTTACACGGATTTTGTTTCATTCCTCATAAATTAGTACTAATAGTTATATTTAAACCATAATTTATCATTCTTAAATGTTGCCACCAGTTTTTCTGTGACATTCCAATGGGTTAAGGAAATAGTTTCGATTTTAAAATATTCAATAAAAATAATCTCGAAACTAATTTGTTTTTGCAACATTATTTTACTGCAAATAATTTAATTCTGTATTATTTTAATAATTGACCTAGATTCAGGGCAGTTCAGGGAATTTCTAATAACAAGGAAAACCAAATGATTGATTCACTGGTACAGATGTATGCTGACGTGGTGTAGGCAAAGGCCTCAGGCATTATTGGCTGTCTTCGGTCATAATGCAGATGACCGTGAATACTTTTAATGTAATATTATATGTTGCAGATGTTGTGTCGAAGGTCGCGGGTACGAGCACTCAATGGTCGAGCTCAGAGCACTTGTATGAGCGAATTCTCTTATTTATGATTTATTGCAGTAGTAAAATATAACTTTCGAGGGCGCGGCGATGGCGCGATGAGGCGATGGCGCGATGAGGCGATGATGCGATGGGCGCCTCTTGTATTTCAATGTCAATGACTAAAATATCGATTCGGCATACACATTTTAAATTCGGTTTCTTACGTAGTCGCCAAAAATGTGCGATTTTATATTTTTCGCTCTAGGTTTGATTAAATAATTTTCTGAAGCCACTGTTATTTGGTACATTGCTTTACACTATTAATTGAGTTGTGTGATAAGTTTCCAGGGTGTTAAATGGTATTTGTATCGCAGCCAAGTAGTGATGTTAATTTTTAATTCAGCTTTCGAAAGTCGCTAAGTGAACCTTGACCCGGCAAGGCCGCGAACTGGCCAAGGCCAGGCGGCGGTTGACGTACATCGATAACTTTTGGTAGGTTCTCGCGCCCTCGCCTCTACCGTGTCGTGCTGAGCTCAAACCAGCCTTAAACCGATAACTATGAAAGTTATCGTAACCTACTGTATCCTGCGTTAACTACTCATACTTTAAAGTTAGTAACGTTTTATGAAGTTAATTAAAGTAAGTTATATTTAACTGATAATCACTGACCGCAACAAGCTAATCATCGACGGCTTGACAACAATATAATGCAAAACTTTTCCATCATAATTACACAGCATTTCTCTTGTCCTCAATCTGTTTCAATTTAAATTAATAATATCCTTCCTCATGTATTTTCACCTTCGAACGCACCTTATTCGCGAAACAAATTTAGTGGCATTAACAATGGGGTGTCAGCCATTTGTCACAATGTCGCGCATGTCCATGTGGCGCGCACCATCAATGGTGTGTGACTTCATTGCAGGGCGGGCCATGTCACTGAACTATTGATTGGTGGCGTGCGCTGGTGGCACGGCGTGGTGACGTAGTGACGTGCCGGCGTAGGGCTCCTGCTCCCACGGGCGCAGCAGCTCGCAGGCCACTTGTATTGTTTAATATATCTATTGCCATCATCCTGTCATGTCGATGTTGCAATACTGCAGTTTGAGAACATAGCAAAGGAAACACCTGATGAAATATACCCATATATCGCAATATTAAAATGAAATAACATAAAATTGTAACAGTGACACAAACTGAGCGTGTGCATGTGCGGGAACCCGACACTGCTCCTGTTGTGTTAACATTACATTTGCTGCAAATAGAGTTCACTTCAATGTCATCAAACTCTGGCGCTCGTACATAACTCGACAATTATAATTGTTTCATTGAATATGTTTAGCAATTAATATGATATGTAATTACAGATATAAACAAACAAACTACTGGTTTATGGAACTTATTGATCCGCGCTATTCTAGGTCTAATTTTCGGTTTCGCGGTTATTCTGTTTGCTAAATGTTTTCCTCTCTGCACACAGTATGTTCAATTATTTCTTAGAATTAATAGAGGGGGAAATTATTGTTAATTAAGTGTAGGCACATGTCCGGGGCACGTGGGGGGGCACGCGTGTTGTCTTGCGGTCGCCTCTGTCTGGCAGACATGCGCCATGCAACATGTAAAGTGACCTACGATTACTTCAAGAACAAAACACCGCAATGTTTACTTAATACCTACTTAATTGCATCAGCTGTCACTAATTAACAACGCACAATCAGTCAATCGAGTTGTCACTTGTCCCTTTTATTGTCTCACGTCTTTGTGAGACGGAGATAATATATGTAGGTAATTAGCAATTGTTATTATGTTGTACATATATTACTAGCTGTCGCCCGCGACTACGTCCGCGCGATATCAAAACAGAATTAACTAGGAGAAAATAAATTTGGCATAGATGAAGTATATAGTCTGAAGATCCATGCTGGAGACACCTTCTAACCAACATTCATCCATCCATCCATCCCTACATCCAAACATTCACATTTATATTTTTAGTGGATGTGTCATCACACATATTACATACTGATAACATGACAACTTTTAACATTAACTAAAATACTTGACACAAGAAAAATAAAGTCAACACCTTATCAGGTCAAAAAAGAAATAAATTATTTGCGTTCTTCGATCATATATTTAGTATTCAAAATATATATATATCTATGTTTATATGACTGTCTGAAAGTGACATTCATCATACTTATTTCTTTAAAAACAAATTATACTACAATTTTTGTAAGAAAACTTTATATGAAATTACTAACACGAGTATAATTTTAATAAGGAAAAAATGAGCAATTAATTATTTTCTAATAAAAACATTTTCCGCAATTAATTAATTGTTATAAGATAATGTGTATGACTCGTGTTTAGACAAATTGTGTGAAATAGTTAAAGATTGACTCAAAACATTGTTGTTATCGATTCGATGTTCACGACACAAGTGTCGACCGATAGTTCAGGTTACAGCGGTATCTGTTTTGTTGCGTCGCAGTTGTAACCACGTTGACATACAACAGGTTTTTAAAGTTTCCGTAACGTATTGCTAAATAAATTTGTTGTCTGCTGTGATATAATACCACGAGCCTCTCCACCAACGTCTATGATTCCGATATGAAATGGAAAAGTGCAGGGAATCAAGTAAGGAGAATAGACAAAAATAAAAATTATTAAATTAATAGGATAAATTAATCAAACGAATACATTCAATAATCGATGTAAAATCAAACTTGTTTTATTATAATATTATTGATTATGACATGAACAAGGTATTTTATTCGTCGGGAACTAACATTTCAAAACTAAGTAGTGTTTACTCTGATTTTTGATTTTAAAGCGAAGATAAAATTGAAGCATCTTGTAAATGTGTTTAAAAAATATATAATTTTTTAAACGTACAAGCGATTTCACCCATTTAGGTAAAAATAAATTAGGGTAAAAGTCTCAAGGCGTCTCCGAGGCGCTGCGCCGTGTGCGGTAAACTGTTTCTGGGGAATCGTAAGTGACCTAATAACGCGACCAATTCTAATTATAAAACGGACACAAGCGCTGAAGCTAAATGCATAAATAAACAAATAACGCTCGTGTATTTAAGCGGATAATCTAGCACTTTATTACCATATAAAAATGTTCCTGATTATGATCTACATACTCGTATTAATGTCGCCAGATCGCGGCTGCAACAACACGCTGCATCTAACCTATAAATATTTTATGACAGTTTTGTAAACAATTTATCTATTTATCGCTTACTAAAATCGAATATTAATATATTTTTTTTTAATAGTTGAATGTTCTGGACTACGTGTTGACGATCTCTACATAGATTATTATGGTTTAAAAAGGTATCTATGCTCACCATACTATATACTTGGGTATTTCTATCCCAATAAATTAATGTACACAGCTGCCGCATGCTTGCCTCTGCTTTATAAATTTAACGATGGCATGAAATTAAATATTTACGCGTAAAGTAGAGTACGTACGTTAAAGTTATCTTGCAATCTTTGTGCTTATCAAAAAGAAACGATTAATAAATACATTTTATCATCTTTGATAAGGATTCCCTTCATTTCATTTACAAATTCATTAACAAAAGAATTAATTAGAAATAAGGTTACGCTTATATTGCGGTTCACGAAGAAATCAATTATTAATTGTTTATCGCACTTAACCTAGATTTAATATGTATTTAGTATATTTGACAAAGAGTAAAGTTGACTCCAGTCGTTAAACACCTACTTAACTATATAAGAAAAAATCGGCGATGTTACTGTAAAAGTATTATAAAAATAATATGAAAAATTCTTACGAATCTAAAAGTAACCTTTCATTTCGTGCTTTTAAATAATAAATATATTAAGCATACAAGAACACGAGGGCAATAAAATTGTTTTGGGTAAAAAATGTTCACTTTTTAATTTCAATAAAAATGTCACTTTTTTACCAATAAAAAATAAGAACTTACGATTGAGTGTAAAATATTTGCACCTTTAGTACTTTGACACGACACAAAACTTTCAAAAATCAAATGTTAATATAAAAGAAATGTAAATGGCGCGAAGTGACCGAAACACTGGCCGGCGATAGCGCGCGCCGCGGCCGAGTGACGGATAGCGCAGCGCGACCGAGGCGCCGCGGTGACAGCCAGCGATGGCGGGAACACCGAACACGCGCATACACAGATTACGAACAGCTGACTGTTGCTGTCTACAGACACCATCGCACACTACGGCTCTACAGTATCCTAGATGCCCCTTGAGTAATGTGCATAAAACCTTTTATACATAACTTTTCTATTAAAAGGTCGAATATGAAAACATTCCGACAAGAAACATATTGGTTTGTTAAAAATGCGTATTATCAAATTTAAGAACCATGATTGAGAATAATGAAAGATTGTTTCGTTTTATTTTTCTGATACAAATCATGAACGCTTGCTTTTAATGCGATAGCTGAAAATAATGTTACGTTTGAGGAGGGAATTAATTGAAGTGCGGCCATCATCGGGGGATGTACTCGTACTTTGGTAAGTGAATGTGCGCGTATTGCAGCAATGATTCCTGTGGGTGTGCGCGTCAGATGGCGGCTTTGTGAACCGAGATGAACGACACCCCCCCGATGTACTCGAGACGGTATAAATAAAACCACCTGCCCTGTCCCTGTCATAATCCTCTTCATATTGCAAGCGACTTTTTCGTATAATTAATGATGACAGTACACAAACGTTGCGTTTAATGTAGATGTAGGAAGGCGGGTTAGCGTCATAACCAAGTAATGCATTGTTTTACTTATTTACATTGTTAAAGTAAATATAATATGTTAAACAACTATTCATACATAAGACTGATTGGTTTTCTTATTTGTAATCACAAGAGATAACGGTTTTCAATAAATACAAGGATGAAGCGTAAGATCATTTAGAGTGTCGAAAGTTTTATAACAAAAATTGTGAGCTTATTTCCGTGTGCGTGTTTCCCCGGCACTGCACATGCAGCGGCGGCAGGTTAACGTGCCCAGATAACCTCTCTCAGATTGCTGATTGCTGAGGTCCGCGCTCACGTCGATAGCGGGGCCGTAGCGCCTCACATACACTATCGTGATTATTGTCACCGCTTATGGAATTACCAGGAGTTTTTTCATAAATCTCACTCCACTTAACGATCAAACTAATCGGTGATTTATAATTAGTGCAACGAAAAATAGTTGTTCATTTTATTTTAACTCTCGCTGTAGTTTTTTAAACCGTAGTTGTTAACAAGTTTACAGTGACATGCATGGTATACTGAACCACACGCAAACTATTTGTGCCAACAATAACACAGCTATCAGTTATCATTATCATTAACGCAGCGATACCGAGCCGAGCACGTGGACAGAGCGCAATGATCCACGCTCGGTGAAGGGCACACAGAAATACACCAACATACACTCTTTGTTTTTAATGCAGCACTGATAGTATGATAAAGTGTTTACTCTCATTATATCTACAAATGTGACGCGAAATCATAAAACTTCTAATATGTTTATGTGCATGCAGTTTCTGCATTCTGCAGATTACATCTAGCATTAGGTCAAGTAAGCATTCTGTTAGTTATGGTGTTTGCTATCTGATCGTAAATTGTATAAATACATTGTAAAGACACATTGTGTAACCAAAGAGAGACGATTTATTTGCATTTATAGTACACATAGTATGAAGAAAACATGCTAATGTTAATTATGTAAAAGTGACTCGAAAAGGAAATATCTATTTTTGCAAAAACAACTTTGTAATACCTTTTTTGTTAAATGTAGACTTTTATATAAAAATACACACGTGTCTCACCGTAAATATTAATATACCTCTACCATATGTTTATAAGTGAATGATATAAACAGAACACATATTAAGCTCCAAATACAACCGCGAACGTGTACCTGATCATTTTGTGGTTGAAATTTGACAAGAACGATGTAGGTTTATAAAACATTTCAAGTTGCGTCTAATGTTACAGAAGCCTTAACTGAAATATGAGACATTTTATTACTTTGTAGAAGAAAGAGGTCAGGGAAAATTCGACGAGATATTTACAAATGATTTATGCATCCAATTAAGAATAACAATTGCTTTATTATCCATGTCCATATAAAATCATTAAAGGTGCATCTGAGCAGCGATCTGACACCGCCTTTTCGGAACAAAGTCACCCGTCACCCGGTCACCCACATACATACATACAAACAGTACTGAGTGACACAGTGAGATAAGATTTGTAATACGCGGTGTACTCTTTAGGGCCGCCACTTGGCATCACTTCATGTTTTCAATATGTTGTATGAAGATATTTTAGACAGATATAAGTCCTTCATTGTTAGTCTTTACCCTGAATATAAAGATGAATTTTTCTTTTATTTTAGCATCTTTAAGGTCGCCCTTGTAATTGATTACAAACAGATGACCTATAAGATTACATACATAATGAAAGTTCCCTCAGAACATAAAATAATCGTCTTTTATCGCATCACTCAGTGTGGGCCTAATATTTGAACGTTTATTTATTCGTTAATTGACGCGGTCGCGGCATCAGCGCAAATATTGTATCTACAGGCAGCCCGAGTGAGTTGATTAATTTACAAAATCAACATAGTTTCAGGGTTGTGTGGACATTGGCGCGCCAGTAATGGTCTACACCAAAAAATGTGTTTTTATTATTTTTTTAAAAGAATGAATGATTACGGAGCCAGCAATAAAGTTTTAAAACAATGCGTCAGGAGCGGTCCTACCTTCCTTCCTGGTCCAGCCTCCGCCTCCGCCTCCGCCTCGTCTATACAAAAGAACTTGGTCGGCTCTCGGCAAGTCAGCAGGCGACACGCCGGCAGACCCGCGCGCTCACTATTGCATGCATTGCAACCGCTAAAGTTCACACACTATTTATAACATTTCTATGTCATACAATTGTTTACAAATAAAAAGGCGCAGGGCGGGCGACGCCGTGCGGGCGGGCGGCGCGAGCGGACGTCGCGCAGAGCGGGCGGCGCGGGACCGACGGGTTCAACGGCCGCCGTCGCCATGGCGACTGCACTGACTGGCTGCGTGCACCAGGAACAGGTGCGGGGCCGGGGATCTGTTACACTTTTAGCTCACTCTCGCTCGGCGCAACGCACCGTGGCTCGGCGCACCTCGGCCTCGGAACACCGACGCCGCGCGGCGTCGTGCCTTTATGATTTTGTGCATGTTCCCAACTCGCCGGCTAGCGTGCCTTTTTAAATGATCGCATACTTAAATGCAAACTAACATTGTTTACAAATTTTGTTGAATTGATTTATTAAGAAGCGATGCGTGTAGAGGTGCATGTAATGAAGAGATATGTATGTATAACAGGTTGCTCTGTTGAATCTTACAAGCCAGGTATTATTTAAAACCAATTTACTAGCAAAAAATAATCCCGACTTATAAATTATTTATTAGTATTGTTTAAATTCAGTTTCACAAAGAAGCTAAAAATAAAAGATATTTAACTCTCCCATGCCGACACCGACAGTCTAGACTTCCTGCCGACGCTCACAGAACTCACAAGAGCAAAAAAATGGTAGTCGCCTAATGAAGTGGCGCATTGGAGCCAGCGAGCTGAAACCTCGAGTCGATTAAATCGAGGCCTACCAATGATCGATTCATTACCACAAATTGGACGCGCGCTTCACCGGTGCGGCAACGCACACCACTTTGCAGAGAAATGCCTTGCTTATAGCGCCTGAGTATTTAAAGGGTTTTATTAAGTACCTACATAATTAAATGCTGCTAGGTGGGGTGTCTGATATATCTCTTAACAACGTGCTATGAAACTAAAATATCAAATATAACATATCAATACAAAATAGGGAATTGAAAAAGATACTTCTACTAAAGATAACTACGACGTGGCCGCAACAAACAAACAAACAATAGGCGCAGAAACAATAACGTATCATCATAACAGACTGAGGGGGCGCGATCGAAGCCCCCACCACCCCGCCCGCCCCCGCTCCCGATGCTGTTTGTAGCCGCAGCTGCAGCAGGAAACTCTCCAAAGCTAAATTGCAGCGCAGCTAAGAGGCCAAAGTTGCATTTTTTTATTCACGAGAAGCTTTACCGTTTCGAGACATCGTGTTATATTTTTTACTTCTTTATTTAATAGTACTACTTTGTAGCTAATTATAATGCAAGTAGTAGTAGATACGAAACATGTCTATAATTTGAAAAATTTTACTATTAACTAAAACATCGTTTTTCCTTTAATTTACCTTGAACTAAATCCATTAGAGCAAACGGTAGCAGTTATTTATGTTGCGCCTCTCCTCGTGCAGTCGACGTCTGCAGGTGCGTATGTTTGTTTGTACAGTTCATCTTATCTGTTACAAGTTTGTCTGCAACTTGCGTTTAATTGAACCCGTGTGTAAAACTTGGTCAAGGCAACTCTACTCGCCAGGAGAGTTTTGATATAAAAAGATGTGTAACACTTTGTGTTTTGTACGTTTGTACATTACTTTACATTACACAATATGTAAGTAATCATAGCATTATAAAATAAAGTGAAGTTGAAGTCGATTAATATTAATTTAAATCGAAATTAATTGTACGTACACTAGTAGGGCGGAGAGCTCGCTGTTCGCACGTCACAGCTTTCATTAGTTAATGGAATTGATTAAGATCATTTAATGGCGCTGGAGGATATACAAATGTTGAATCAAATACCTACATCTTTGCAGCTAAGAGATATTTACTGTAACAATTTTAATTACACTGACGAGGAAACAAAGACTTTGCTTTGTAGATTTAGGATTAGCTATGGATTGTAAACAATCACTTACTACCTATTTTTTTCAATTCGATATTTTGCTTTCAAATAATTCTAGCATAGCAGTAGATATTTTCAAAATGAAACACGAAAAGTATCAAAATCAGAGTACAAGAGAGGCTAATTAAAGTGTGGGAGCGCAGTAAAGTATCATTGTGAGTAATTACATTGCTGAAGTGTGGTGCAGCCGCACTGGACAACCTGCATCTAGTATACCTCTGCTTGTATTATATAATCCGTTATAAATATGCATTATTATTTGTATTTATACTAAGGTAATATTTAAAGCCAAAAGCTATGTTAATATAAAGATACAAATTGCCACTGATTGTGAACATGCGGTCGTTATTAAAATAACTTTGTATAACAACATTGTTTACTTTTAAGTTCATGATCACGGTTCTTTTGTTAAATGTCATAAAATTATGACCCAAGTTAAAAACTAGTTTTCAATTGCTAAAGCAATTAATTAGGTAAGTTATAATTATTTCCAAATAGCAAAAACAGGTTATTGCGAAGTCTTGTGCTGAAGTTGACGGAGTGCGGGTGCGGGTGCGGGTGCGGCGGGGTGGGGGGGTCTGTGATATATTTATAAATGATTTACCACGACAAATACCAGTTAGATATTTTAATCTTATATCGTATAATCGCCTAATATCTATTTATCGCCTTAATATTGTATTTTCTAAATATCAATATATTGATGTTAATAAAACAAACAACTAATAAAACTTAATAGAACTAAAAAGCATAAAGTACCTACACGTAAAATATAAATAACAATATTTATCAACGGACAACTTTTATTAAAGAGTAATTCGTTTAAAAGCAATTGAAAACCGGTGTATGTACACTTGCATGTGGGGATCAAATTAATGAGGTGGTGACAATGTTAGGGCAACCCTTACCACCTCTTCCGCTACGGTAAGCTGTAACGCGTTCACTTTTGCCTCCAATTATTTCGGTATTAGAAAAACAAGTTAATCCAGTAATAAAATGTTCAGCATTATAAGATATCAAATTTAAATAGTTTGATAAATAGGTATAGACGTTTATATACTTAAACAATAGCAAATTATCAGAAATAATTTATTTTTTATTTATTTCGTTGAAATTGTAAAACAAAACACAACAAAATGAGAAGCAATTAATTTTAAATATTAATACAAAACAGTCGACGCATTCAATTGAAACATACTTAAAGCATAAGTACATATTTCAAATAAAAATAATTTAACGGTACACTAGTAGTGCGAGTGCTGCGCTGAGGGTGCAAGCCGCAGCTGTTTACATCGGCTAACAAAACTTGAAACAAATATTTACCAAATCACACTGCGCTTCCAAACAATTAACCACTTATGTGTTTTGTGGTAATGTAATTTCAATAACAACAATAATCCGTTCAAATAACAAGAACCTCTCATTATTAAGATGCTTTAGCAATCTTATTCATTTCAAAACAAGCTATAAGGAGGGTTACATTTTAAACATACTCAAAAATTTATTCTTGCATAACACATAAGTAATTTTAGTTTTTGCTAAACACGCCATCTCTTGTTATTAATGTAAAACTCTAGAAACAATTTGAAAAACGTTTTTAAGCTTTACTCATAAACTACAAGATGGCGTACAATCTAAATTTAACAAATTAAATGTAGCGCCATCTTGCGAGAAAAACGTTAAGATAAAATATTAACGATACCAACTTGTTTTTATTTGACTACAGATGGCGCTTACACAAAGTAAGTATTTAAAATGGGTTCAAAAGTCAGATTCACACAGTCTATGCAGAGTGTTAAACTGGTATTCTTTTTATATAAGGAAGGCTTAATCCCAACGGGCGGATGTCGCAATTCAGAATACAATGTTGTTTAGTTTTTATTTTATCAAATCTGCAGTCGTGCCGGAGGATAGAGCCTATCAAAAGGCGGAATAGGCTTAGATGTTCAAAACATAATGGAAGTTATCATAAAATTTACGACGTAAATACATCGAAGTTTATAGAAATGGTAATGCGAGTTATTTCATCCAACCTTTGTTTTTTTATATTGGTACTGTAAAGTTATAAAACATCGCTCAATCACATGCAGCCATAAAGTTTATAGTCGAGTTGAGGCAGAGAGCGGCGATCGGGGGGCGGGAGCGGGTAGTTTTACGAGCGCCGCGACCGCACACCTTTTTACCGTCAGTGCTACCCTATCACCATGTCTACACACAAAACGCAAAATGTGTCCGTCCAGCAGTCATAATTTGTTTAATTCGGCTGGTGGCAGCTGGCGGCTAATCGTTGCAATAAAAGAAAGCAATCTCTTACAATATCATAATCACACTTGTATTAAACATACAATTGTCTCTGGTTCTTTTTTTATTAAGAATAAGGACTTTTTTTATGTTGTTTTATACAAGTAGAGTATACTAGTCTTAGACTACTCCAAACCTTGGAAACCCTTGTTCAGAACTACAACATGTTCAATAATAAAATAGAGATAAATGAACACTTTCTATGAATATTTCGAATCTAATATTTCCATCAAAGTAGATTATTGAACACTGATTGCTTGATCTATTTCAGCGCACTCTATCGGCCCACTTCACAACTAATGCATTCAGAAAGTTATTTGCCACAGCTGATGGACTCGCCGCACCCGAGGGAGTCGCCTTCATTACTCTACATTATATCTTTTAATTACTTTTGCGATATCACTTGTTTATGTCATTAAAATAATATGAAAAAGAGATTTTTTGTATTAGAGTAAAATACTGTTTTTAATTACATTTTAAGTTGCAAAGTACAATAAAACAGTAGCACTGCTAATGATGATTTTTGATTCGAGGCAAAACAAGCTGGGTGACAATGTGACGTGACATAGTGAAAATTAAAGACAAACATTCATCGATAATTCAACTTGTCATTAAATTATTAAACCTTTTAAATATTGTCATGGCTACTTATTATCAAAACATTATTTATTCCAACCTTGCTTCTGATTCGATGTGACGGTTCCGCCATGCTTTGTGCAGCGCAAAAAAAGTCTTCTAGAATTAATTAAAGCAGAAAACACAAATCTTGTGTTGTCTTTTTAAATTTATAGCAATTCCTAAACAAATGTCACTCATTCTTTTTTGTCGAATCATCCGTTGGCTGTGAATCTTTCAAATGAACTTTGATGACTTTGGCGACCTTCGACAAGAACCAGCCAATGGTGGCGAACACGAGAAGGATGTCGAGGTGCAGCCAAACGAAAGTGGACATGTGGCGCGCAGGCGGCTGCAGATGCGGAGCGCCGCGTGTGCGCGTCACTAGCCGGACCCAATGCGACAGCGCCTGGTGCGGTCCCGCCAGCCGCTCGCGGAACACTTGCGACGCCTGCTTAGCGTTCTCTCGGTAACTGAAAGTTACCCAAATGTAGAAGCTAAAATCTCCTCCGTCCTTTCATTATCATCCAACTGATGGTGACACTGAAAGGTATTGTCAATAGGTTCGTGAATTTTGTTTACCTAGGGTTATTGAGTATTTCACGCAGCGCTTCCTGCAGTCTCGCCGGTAGGTTGTCGGAGAAGTCGACCCTGAGTCCGTAACCGCGCTGTACGACCAGGTCAATGTTGACGAACTGGTCGCCGAAGATGGGCAGACCGAGCAACGGCACGCCGTGCTGCGTCGCCTCCATCACTGATAGCAACCCCGCGTGCGAGATGAACACCAACATGTTTGGGTGCGCTGTCGATGTCCAACAAATGTTCATATCACAACAACTTGAACCTTATCGCATTTATAAAGTCTACCAGTCCTCGAACCTAAGATGGCCTCCTGCGGTGCCCAGTCCAACAGGTGCACGTTACCGGGCACATTCTCCAGCCGCTCCTCAAACTTCCACAGCACCGTCTGCCGCAGCCGGCTAAGCACCGCCAACAGATCGCGAGTCATCGCTGCCGGCAAGTCCCTGCTCCTCACATTAGACCCCAAGTTAAAATATATCACCCCATGCGTAGACTCGTCTAGTAGACGTTGCAAGTCCTGGAAAGTTTTTTATAATTTGTCTAAATTTTCTTGTCATTCATTATTTGAAATTCTTATAGTTTACTGGATTTTATAATAGCACAATCACAATGAAATTGTTGAAAATTTTATGAAAGTTTCTTATTATTCTAAGTTTGGTTACAATTGGCAAGGCTTTCGGCGCAGTGCTGAGGTGGTGTCCGCCGACGTACTGCACGTTCCCGGGCAGCGGCAGGTTGTGTCCGACCGGGGGATGGCAGTTGACTAGCAGCAGCGAGCCATTATAGACTAGAGACTCATACGGCGGCGGGCGGCGGCCGCGAAGCAGCAGTGGCGCGCTGTAAACCTCGCGGTACACCACCGCGTCTACGTGACTCGTGTAGTAGCTGGGGAACACGCATATGTATATCGTCGAAGTCTTAACACGCATAAGAACAGAGAATCATAAAATAATCCAGTTAGGCACACCGCGGTCCACCCAACACCCGGCGGGGACAACAACCCAGCGATGACGTGAAATAAAGTCGAAGATGTATGTCTACGAGAAAAAAGTTTAAGAATCCCCGATTTTAAGTAAGAAATGTGAACTGACTGCGTCCACCCGGTGAGGTAGAGTTGCAGGAGCATCTGGCGCAGCTTATCCCCGGTGTTCAGTGGTGCGACGGGCGCGTGCCGGGCCTGCGGGTCAACAGCCAACGCTGGACTGCTGGTCTCGTGTACGTAACGTAGCGACTGCCAAGACACGTCCCCGCTCGAGTACCACACCAAGGGGCAGTCGAACACCGCCGCTAGCCTGCACACGCCACAAGCTAAGTGCTACAAGACGGCCGAATGCATACGAACAGTTATATTCCTGTAAATAATACTAACGGTGCGAGAAGTCCCGAGTAGAACCAGTCGGCGATGACCAGGTCAAAGGTGACTTTATCGTCGTTGAGCAGCTCCTGCAGCGCAGCGTGGTGGAGAGCCTGCTTTGCAAATATGTGCCCCACTGTCAGCACCCAATGACTAGGTTTTGGATTTTCGATCAGACTTGCAATGTCCAAATGGTTGGAATCTATAAAACATACTCCAATATTGCGTAAAAAAGATTTTAAGGAAATAAACAATTAATATATTGAAAATGTGTACAAATACAAAGGTCACTGACCCCGGTCGTCTACCAGTATGGAGCTGATGTCGGCCACGGTGAGGCCGGTGCGGTTGGACTGCGCGGGGAACGGAGTCACGTATGTCACCTGAAATATAAACACAAGTGACTTCACTTGTTTTACTCTTCTTACAAATATACCTATTGATTGAGTGAGTGAATGTTAGACTTCTCTATTTACATACCTCATAGCCATCATCAATCAAGATGTCGGCAATTGAATTTCCCAGTATACTATGACTCTTGCCGGGTACGGGGAACACGAGCAGCACGCGGCCGCGGCTCTGCGCGCCGGGCATGTGCCCCTGCTCAGCCGCCGCCACCGCTGCTGCTGTCGCGCTCAGCGACACCAGAGACACCAGAAACACCAGCAATTTCATGGTGCACAGAACGTTCAATGACAGTGTATCGTGTAATATCTTGTCTTGTCATGTATTGATATGAGAAGCCCGAGATACGTAATGTATAGTAAAAAAAATGTTTGTTTTTGCTATCACAAGATCTGGTTCGATAAAGACGACACTGATAACACGCCATATCTCAGAGAGACCTTCGTCTGATCGCGCTTTATACAGATGATACAATGAATAAGCAACTGAACAAAATATTTGTTTGTTATCGGTTTTATGATTAGTACGAACTATTGTCAGTTTTAACACGACATCTACGAAGTAAATATTAATCATTTAGTAATTATATTATTTCTTGTACTGTATTGTACGTGAACACATCTTCACATTTTTTAGTTTTTTTAACATATGTCATGTAACTTCATATTAATAACAAATGATTGTAATGTATTGTAAATAAGACTGTAGTCGACGATTGACGACGCGACGGCGAGCGGCGGCAGATGGCAGCACCGCCCTACTTGTCTGCAGTTTGACCCAAATCAGAATTTTTGTATTAACTTCAGTTTGACCTTATAAAGGTTGTCTCATAACATCTCTTTTAGTTGATTATATCGGTTCATATTGCTGCGATGACTTCGATATTTAACAAAAGTTGTAGAGCAAAAGATATGCAAAAACAGCTTTGAGCCGCGTAACCGGTTTTCCAGCATTGAGCACGTTGTTGCCACCACAACGTCGCAGACATATCAGAGAATCATCCTTTGGAAAATTGGAATCCTTTGAAATGAGATAGACATGTATAGCAGTCTGACTGCAGCCCCAACCTTCAACCAATCTATAATCTGTCAAATGTTAAGCTTTTTAATGTTTGAAATTTAAGAGAACAAGCTATATATTATTTTAGACTAGACATAATTATATTGTTAAAGCGAAAGTCTCGTTCTGCAATAACCAACAACATAGCGATGCATAAAAGTGAACAGTTTTTATTATCGTAATAAAATGAAGTAACATGAGCGCGCAAAAGGTTGCACGCAGAGACTGGCAGTGGCGATCAAACTTATTGTACCTTTTAGGTCGCGCTCAGCCATTCTCAAAGACGTACAGACACGACAATGGTGTTAATTATATTATAAAAAGTCTAATATAATATTAATTGACAAAGTAAGAGGTGTCTGGAACTGGCCTCAATTTTAGGAGTGGGTCGTTGTCACGTTACTTTTTAATGTACACACGTAAAGTTAAATGGAGTAGTTAAGTAGCACATTAGTCGACATCACGTAGTAAGAAGCGAGATGGCCCAGAGATGTCGACAGAGTAAGCGGCCGAGAGACAGTCGCTCGGCTCATAAGGCAGCCCGCGTCACCCCGCCCCCCACTCGCATGGATGAACCGGAGTAACATCACTGCATGGTCCAAATTACATAGAAAGCTAATACTTTACAAAAGGTTTCTTAATATGTTCTGCGCTAATATAAGTCCGGTAGATCTCAATCGTTGTTCTGTTCACTGAGATGACATCCAGCCTCCATTAAATGAAGAGGCACTTTAAGAGAGACAGAGAGAAATATCTTAATTTATTAATATATAAATATTATAAAACAATGTCGATTTTCTTGACCTCTGTGTGGCTTAAATGTTCTGTTAAGGCACTTAACATTAAAATAGGGTTTTCACCATCTTGTAGGTTTAAATGCCTCCTACAGTTTTTGATTCTGATAAATATTTTAGAAGTAAAAGATATCACTAACACAAGCAAAAGGCTTAATGGAATAATACTGGTATGACAAAAAAGAAATCACAGCCTTTGCCACCCGGTCGAAGCCGGGGAGAGTCGCTAGATAAGCTGGTTCGCCATCCAGACATACCTACATTTGCAATGGTTTGTATGTACTTCAATAGAGCTGTGGTTGACACATAAATATGTCACTCGTGACAAGCTGTTTTACTAAAAATTTCGCTGTGTATCAGCTTTGGCTGAGGTATTTGCAAAGCAATATCTTTCTCTAGCCCGCCTCGTCTCGTGGCTGCACTTTTGCGTCGCTCTTACGTCCTTCTAACTCGGATTCTGATAATTTCAAAGTTCGCAGTTAAAATACTCATTAAACGCAATAAAAGTTCTATATACGATGTTTAAATTAATCGTAAACTCGCTACAAACGCTTTGCTAAACAGAAGGTTGATGTTTTTATGATGTCGTTTCTGTGAATTATTATCTCTTTTTAAAGATGTGCGAAAAAACTAAGTCATAAAAATAAATTTACTTGCTTTGATAATAAATACTTGAGGAACAATATCATCACATCACACTCGCACACTTTTATTTATAATAACATTGCTCTGACTCTATTTTGAAAAACTTGTTTGTTTTATTAATTTCTACAAATTAGTTATTTGTTAACATCCTTTCTTCAGTAAATTATTATTATCGTGATTGTAGAAAACAAAACAATACAATAGAATAACAAACAAAAGCAAGCAGCTTATATCTGCTGCATTATATTTATTACAAAGCTTTGTTTTACCTCACAAATATAACTTAATAATAACATTCTCATTATGAAGTACACCTTTTGAAGACTAGTATCGTTTTATTTATTAATTTATGTACAGCTTCGTTGTTGTCTATAAAAATTTCCGATCTCTTAGAAAAACTTACCTGCGATTATATAACGAATTAACAAACTCTTTTTATAATTTTCGACTTCGCTGCTGACTTCCTCTTCAAACTAAAATTAAATGCAAAAATTGATCAAAAAAATATTACAAACTCCGTATACGGCGATATGTAATAGGTAGAAATTGATTTTAGTTAATAGGCTTTTAGAGTCCTGGAAGATCAATTAGAGGTCCCGAAAGGCATGACCAGTGGCCGTGTAATGCGTAATCGCCGCCGCCGCCAGCCATCTCGTTCGCGATGTCAGCTCTTCACATCGTTAAATCTATATTCTGCAATAACATAAACTATTTCAATTAAACATTTGCTGCAATTTACTTAAATGATGTTTAAAACAATGTTAAGTTCTACTCGTGGTGTTGTTTTAGCATACAATACAATAACTATTTAATAAATCTATGGTCTGAAAGTGTTAAAACAAGTTTAAGTCAGCTAGAAATTTGATAAAAAAAAAATTGATCTCTTAATATTATGTAGAAACATATTATAATAAAACGGCTGTAAGCTGTGATACAGGACGTGTGTCGTATTAAGAGGTGTTGTAAAGTGAGAGCGCGTCCCGGGGCTAGGGGTGCGGAGGGTGCGGGGGAGGTGAGGTGTGGGGGGTGGCGCCCTCTGGCGGCTACTGCCGTCGTTACTGTTTTATGCAGCACTAGGTGAAGGTGCGAGATGTGTGCTTGACATATCATTTACGACTCCAGTTTACGAGTCGTGTAGGTTGCTGCGTATTAAATCATTTTCTATTTTAATTTTTAAACAGTAATATAAATTACATAATACATACAGTGGTATAATTGATGTCGGCATACAGAATCTCGATCGAGAGATATATTTTCTAATTTATTAAGAAATCTTATACGTTTAATTTTAAATGAACATTAGGCAGTTGGTTTAAAATCGGGAATATTAAACTTGACCCCTTTTATGAATTCAAAGTTCTCTCTCCCGTGCTTGCGCGTGGGTGTGCGTGCGGGGGCAGAGATTAGGGCTCAGCGGCGCGCGGCGGCGGCCGGCCCTGCATGACGCAAACACCTCGCGTGTCCCTCGCCCATTCATCAACACACACCAGCGCGATTGTTTCTTGATCTCTCAAGGATTATGTAACTTGAGGCGACTATTTAAAACCACAATTTTTTTTAACCAAAACCGGGGTTAGACTGAAGTTATTGTATTTTATTCACGTATTTCTATTTATAACTCATTAAACTTACTTCACTTTTGATATAAAATCCAAAAATTATTTATTTTCTTCTAAAGTAACATGAAAATAGAGTAATGTTCATATTGGTGAATTATACTTTTATTATATTTTGATATAAATTATACTTTTGGAAAGGAAATTTGCCGAAATAGTATGTAAGCGAGACGAAGCGATTCCCGAGAGATAGCAACATTGCAGCCTGCCCTCGACCCTCCTCTCTACGCCCTCAACTTATACTAATACCTCAACAGCGATTGCTTACGATCGCTTAATTCGAATAATTTCAAATATAAATTTCATTTTAAGGTTTGATATTTCTTTTAACTATACAGTGTTCATAAAATATATAATTTTTTAATTGAGATTATAATAGACAAAAGTAAAACTGATGAAACTTTGCAGCGAGCAACAACAATTTTTTGTTTTTAAAAAGCACGTATTTATTTTTGTATCATTTTGTTTGCGTCAATATGATCGCCGTCAGGTTATTGAGAACTTTTCTATGTTGTTGTTTATGTTATTATTACTTTATCATGTAAATTGTGCATTCAAGTAAAAAAAGGCGACGACACAAAAAATACCCGAGAAATATCTCAAAGGTAAAATGAAAGATAAATACATAAGTCACGAGCTCATTTTATCTTTTTGCTTTTTTTTGTTGTTTATCTTTTTAAAGATAAATATGTAGGTACCTTACTAAATTTTCTTTTTTAATAAAAGCAAAAGTAGTACACTTACTTTCATGTCTATAAAATAACATGGTTTATAAAATAACTCAAGCAAGTATGGAACCTATTATAGAGTCTTTTAATGTTGATTTACTTTATAAGAAATAAGATTTTACCTGCGACTCTATCTAGAAAAAAGGAAACCAAATACATCGAAATGAAAAGTAAAAGTTAACTTGTTTATGTTACAAATAAAGTTTAATGAGTTTCTCAAGTTTCACATGTCCAAGAAATATGATGATATAAAAATAAGACCCGGCGTACACGAGACAACATTCAATCTTAATGTGTGAGTTATCTATTCGGTGATCTGTACAGGCGTAGTAGTACAACAATAATTGTTCAATAATTGTTCAAACATCTTGAGAATCGCGGCGTAGTTTGTAGTGACGATCTTGACAGACTAGTAGCGAGGGACAGTTGAAGATGATGTCACTATTTTTATCACTTTCAACAGTATTGACAGGGCTCACATGTTGTAGACTAGAT